TCCTGCTTCCATAAGCAGCTGCTATGAGGTTTTCTGAGCACTAGTTTGAATTACTAATTATTCAGCTGGTGTCTATACTAAATCTGATTATTAACATATTGAACACTTTGAGTGCCTGCTTTAATTAGTAACTTACTAGTACCCAAATAAACTGAAATAATTTGGTTCATGTTTTCAAAAATGTAAAACTTGCATAAGCCATATTTAAAAATGAGAAAATGTCATTTAAAATTATGAAGTCTTCGTATAGTGTACCTTCTTGTACTTGTGAATCCCTTTGAGGGGCTTGAAGTGGTGCTGGTGCTGTGGCATGTGATATATTTTATTTATGATTTGTCATTTAAATATTTTCATAATATGGATGGCTTCATAAATATCCCATAAAGCACAACTTGATTATTTTTGCATCTGTTATTAGAAAAAGATTGGGTAGATGAAGCAACCGTTGACATTCATGTTGAAATACAGTCTCCTTTATCTGTGTTTCATGTACAAACGAAGAACCAGCCCTATTCAAACTTGTGCAGTGGAGGCTCGCCCAGGCCCTGCCAGCCACTCTCGGCTTCAATGCCTTGTAAATGTTGGCACGAGTCCCTGCTGGTCGGCTCCCATGAGCTAATCAGTGGTGGTTATCTATAAAGCAAGGAAAGGTACTTACTATAAGGATGTGAAACATTCTCTTTTAGTGTTGGCTATGGAAAACAACTGTTTTGGAATAGACTCCATTATTGATCTTCAGGAACCATATGTTGAAACAAGAACAAGTGTATTCCCATGTGTATCAGTAAGCATGTTGAAACAAGCTAGTCTAAAAATAAAACTAGATTTTGGATATTTTTCAAGATAAAAACAAGATAAAGGACAGTGGAATGTCTGGCATTTGCTCAAAGATTTGCATTTTGTATTTTGTGACTGTCCTAATCTCACCCTGTAAACAGTTTCTAGTACTTAGAGCAGTTGGCACTTAATTTTGTCCTTCCCACTTATTTAACTTTTCTTTTAATTCCCATATTGGGATAGCTAGTCTTACATGTACCTGATAACTGTTGAAGATGCAGAAAGGATATGTCTCCTTCATCATGTATTGTTTTCCCACAGAGAAGCTCCCCAGGAACTTACACATCGACTTCCTTGCTTACACAGGATTCCTGGTTGCCTTTCTATGTGTGTAGGTGTATCTTGGCTACAGTTGGGGTGATTTAGAAAGCCTACAGAAGTTAAACTAACAGGAGAACAAATTTGTATCCTAATGTTACTGAACTGATCAGAGAGAAAAAGGGATAGTTGGGTTTGGGCATATACCTGGAGGAAAACGTAGGGTAATAGAGGCAGAGAATTGTTTCTAGCCAGATAATTCTTATCTCTCCTATAAATTAAATAAGCCTAAGGGACTTTTGTAAAATAAATAGAGCAAGGATCATAAATAATTATTGGCTGTTATGTGACAGTTGCTTTCTTGTTCCGTGTGTATCATTTAATTTTCATACTAACTCTGCAGAGTAGTTCACTTCACCCCGATATTTACACTTGAGGAAGTAGCATTTGAAGAGGTGAATTAGTTAGTAAATGACCAAGTGTTATTTGAACCCAGTCTTTTCTGACACCAAATTTGTAGTATTTTCACCACACTATGAATGGTTATAGTTCCTTGATGAATAATTGGTAGAGGGTATATGTGCATGTGTGGGAGGCAGGCACTTAAATAACAGAAGCAACCCAAAGAAATCTGGGTATCAGTTTACTCTCAGAGCGATCTCCCTTTAAAAAAACTAAGAAGGAGGATTTTTCTGTTTTGATTCTCTGAATCTTACATGATCCCATTGTATAAAGGGAAATATCCAGGAAAAGAGAATTCATGTACCTTGGGAAGTTCACAGGTACCTTATTTACCTGGGAATCCCTGACAGATGATTCTGCTGAGAATCAGTGACTCAGGCCTCGAAATGTTAACTGGTTTTACCTGATTTCTAATCTGGTCTAAAAGCCACAAAGTCTTACTCTGGTACCTGCTGTTGACATGATTTACAGAGTAAAGGAATCTCAGGTGAAATTGTTGAGGGTTTATCATTCTGCTTAAGGGTTAACCGCACCCCTAAAACTTCAAATTTATAAGACCCATTGTTGGCTTGAAAGATGTAGATCTAGAAAAGCCTTTATAGTCATCATCTTTCTAGGAGCTGGTAAATTTGTCTTTAATGCCTGTGTCTCTCAACATAGGATTTTCTTTTGATTTTTATGACCTTTAGACTTAAAATTATATTGACAAACATTCATTAATTTCTGTGAATATTATGTATACAGAATTAACTCACAGTAGGTTATAGGAGAGAGTAATATGTGTATTTGGTCCTTGGGCTTGAACTCAGTGCCTTTACACTAAGCTACGTCTTCAGCCCCTTTTATTTAAAACATTTTTTGTTTAAGTTAGGTTGTTGCTAAGTTACACAAGCTGGGCTCAATCTTGCAGTCTTCTGCCTCACTTTCCCAAAGTGCTGGAATTACAGGTGTGTGCTACCAGGCCCAAAGTAATTTTCTTTTTACATTACATTAACTTGAAAATTTATATTCTGTAGTATTTAAATTGATGGCAGTTACTTTAAAGTGTAAATTGTAATAATCAATACTGTACAATTTCCAGAGCACAATCAGAAATTTGCTTTTTTGTCTTAAATCATACATTCTTATTATAGACCTTCTCTAATTTTAAAGTAATAATCTAGTGATAATGGTAACCGAAGCATCAGGTGCAGTTAATTTGTGTGTTCTTATGAGTTGGACTCCAGGCTCCAAAGTAACACTTTATCTTCTTTGAAGGCGGTTGTTTGGTTGGTATTATTTTTTCAGGGTCCTGGCCAGTTCTATTAAATGGTCAGATCAGTGAATATTCTCTAATTAATTTTATTTATTTTTGGTACCAGGGGATTGAACTTGGGACCTTGCACTTTCGAGGCAGGAGGCGGCACCACTGAGCTAAATCTCTAGCCCAGTGAATATTCTGTATTCTTTTATAATTAACACCTAATTATTGACAAAGTCTCTACTTGTGTAGATTATTTTGCAGCTTTACCTTATAATTTAATAATCTCTAATCTTACAATCTATGGATGTGTTCCTTTTCTATGCATATTTTCATACACACTAAAGGTGAAATTACAGAGGCAGCAGTTTCCAGCTTGTTTTTCACTTAACATATAAACATCTTAGCACTTCATTAAAATGTGCAAAAGAGTTTTCTTACTCATTTCCCTATTGTTGGACAATTAAGTTCTTTCTAGTTTCCTATTATGGTTAATGCTGCAGTGAACAGATGTAAAACTTTATTTACATCTTAAACCTTAGTGTCTATATAATTTCCATTTGTCCTGGAAGAGCCACTTTGCACCCTCCTGTGCTCCCAAAGATGTCAGTAGAACTTTATGGAGCAAGTTTCTAGTTAGTTTTAGTGACTGGGAGGCTTTGGAGGACCTGGCAGAAGCAAGAGATCAGGCTGGAGTTTTGGTAATGGTTTTGCTACTTTGCCTAAAGCCACAGCTCCTGGTAGATGGACCTTGCCTATAGCTCAGAACTTTGCCAGTTTGGGTACTCACTCCCCCACCTGGCCTCTCTGCTCAGGGATCCTAATGGCTTCCGTTTCCAGCTGCCCTGCCACTCTTTTTTTGGGGTTTCCTTTATCTTTACACATCTTGTGAACAGTCAATTCTTCAAACACTGTCCCCGTTATCTCTTTTTTGTCTGTTATCTGTTCCCTGCTGAGCTCCTGACAGACATATTCTAAATCTAAATGGCGTGCCCTTTTTATCTTATGTTAGGTGTGAGGCTTTGTACTGTGGAGGGATTAAAGATAGTTCAGTATTGGGTAGGGTGGTTAAGTGAATTTAGATCTGAGCTGGTGTTAGTGAAAAAAATGACATAGATTGAATTAGAGTGCTTTCACAGAGTATAAGCAAATTGCTATTGGAACAGGGAGAAATTAACAGTAAATTCTTCCATGGACTTTGTGGGACCCCTTCACTTACAAGACAAGGACAGTACCTTCCCTGCCAAATGTTTTCAGTTCAGTTTCATTTGTTTTTTTTTTTTTTTTTTTTTTTTTTTTTTTTTTTTTTTTTTTTTTGTACCGGGGATTGAACTCAGGTCCTTGCGCTTGCAAGGCAGGTGGCGGAACCACTGAGCTAAATCCCTGGCCCTCAGTTCAATTTCATTTGAATATTACTGATTCAATCATTTCGTTTCCTTTTGCTTGTTTTCTTGTTTAATTTGGACATTATTGGTTCAATTGTTTCTATTTTCCTTTGGGGCTTTTGTGGCTATTCCCTATGCTTTTCCTCCTGTTTGGGAGCAGTTTGTATAGCCATATATAGTATAAAGTCCTCTGCATACACTTGTATATTCCTTGTTCATCTTTGTGCTTGTTCATGACCTGTCACTTTTGGAAGGCAGTCTCAGGAGTTTGTGAGTTTTTGGCCTTCCCCCACGCAGGAGCGATATCCTTAGTTAAGTCCTTAAATGAGCCACAAAGCACATGGCAAACATTTTGCTTCATTCTGTTTGATTCAGATCAGAATCTCAGTCTTTAACCTTCTAGAACAAATGCCAAAGCAGTCATCAAACTTACTGGGGCTGCAGATAGTACACAGAATTTTTAAATCAAATAATGTTTTCTGTGGTTACCAGATCATCACTGATAAAATCCCTGGCTGATATATAATATTGAGGTTTATTCCAGGACTCAGTTGGTTTGCCCAAAGGTTCTAGCCTTTTTTAAAAGTTAAATTTTATCTATTTTAGAAAATGTCATTGTTGATTTTTATTCAGAGTATACTTCATATCTTGTAAATGCAGGTTACTCCAAATATATTCTACCATGTGTCTAAAGGATAATTAACTTCAGAGTCACTATACAAAATTCCCATCATTTACTAATGACCAGTGATGGTGGAAGAGACAAGAAGTCATAGCTATAGAATGAGAAAGCGTGGACTTTATTTTATTATTTTCCAAGTCAGGCTGGTAAATGTCCACATAGCACCATGTTTTGAGGGGCACATCTCTCTCATTGGTGTAACAACCCAAGCATCATACTGTGATCCACAGAAGGATCAGGGCTTGGGTTTTAATCCTAAATTTCCCTGTTATAAATTAGATGACTTTAGACAAATCACCTAAACTCTTTGTACCTCTGGATACTCCTCAGTCCAATGTGGATAAAACCAACATGCCTGGTCCCTAGCCAGTTGTTGAGATGCTCTTTTGAAACTCTGTGTGAACAAAAGTTAAGAGTAGGAAATATTTATTGAAAGAGAGATAGGTCCTGAGAGGTAGGGGGGGACCTGAAAATGGGTTGCCAATGAATCCACTTCTCAAAGGAGGTTTTACAGAGCAAAATCATGAGGTGGGTACAAAAATCCTGAGATGGGTACAATGTGAATACCAACCAGTAGGATTACAAGTATAGCTGGTTAGGTAATATTGATCCAATGGAGAAGCAGGTTACGTAGCAGGTGTACATGGCAAGAACAAGGACATTTTTAGGAAGAAATGAATCAGGGGGTCTTGGTCACCCGCTGGGGTGACTGATGTCTATCTAGACTTACTGGATCAGGTGAGTGTAATCTTCAATGTATTGCTTATCCCTTGTGAGTGCATGTAGGCTTGGTCATTCTGTATTTATCTTGAGGTTTGGCCTTCAACAAATGGGCCTCCAATCAGTTTTTTTTGGGGGGGGAGGGGGTACTAGGAATAGAACTCAGGACCTTGTCCTTGCCAGGCAGGCATTGTGCCACTGAGCTAAATCCTGGCCCAGCCAGTTTTTATTGTGTTCTCATCTTCTGTACTTACTCCCTTGAGGGCTTAGCCCTGTCTGACTGCCTAGAATATTTCTTTTCTTTTCTTTTTTCTTTTATGGTACTGGTGATTGAACTCAGGACCTGGTACTTGCAAGGCAAGGTGGTAGAAACACTGAGCTAAATCCCCAGCCCTGCCTAGCATATTTCTACTAGGTTGCTTCTTTCTTTCTTTCTTTCTCTTTTTTTTTTTTTAACAGACATAACATATTTCACAGAGAAAGCTCATGGGCTTCCCCAATAATTCCAACTGGTAGTTAGATTTCATTGTCTCTAATTCACAGATTAAGCAATTGAGGAGTGAAGCTGTTTAATTAATCAGGATTATATTCCAGGTCTCTAGAATTTTAGTGTTCCTTCCACTGTAGCTTCACACATATTTCAGTGGAGTAGATACAGGGGAAAAAAAAAAAATCTTATAGCTTTCATGTTTTATTACAACTCCCTCCTTTTCCTCTTTCTGCTCTATAACATAAATGGGTAAAATTAATAAAGTAAAATGCTGACATAAAGATGAAATTGAAAAATATGTCATTAGTAAGGTAATATTGATCTTTGTGATCTAACTAAAGATCTCACTATTATAAAAATTAAATATGTATTTATTTATTTAGAGACAGGGCCTTGCTAAGTTGCCCAGGCTGGACTGGAACTTGCTATATTCTCTTGCCTTAGCCTTCTGAGTGCTTGGTTTGTATCATGGTACCTAGCTTAAATTATTATTATTATTATTATTACTGGTACTGGGGATTGGACTAGGGTCCTTGAGCTTGCAAGGCAGGTGGTAGAACCACTGAACTAAATCCCCAGCCTCCTACTTTAAATTTTTAATGCTGTAACATTTTAAATAAAATTGTACATGAAAAAAATGGATTTTTATTAGTAACAGATGGCTGGAAATTGAATCCTCTGCTGAACACTTACTTTATTCTCTTCTGAAAGAGATATGTCTGTAGGGCATTTCACTGTTTAAAGTTTGATAATCAAGGAAATTGCCCTGACTTGTACAAATTTGCTCTGACTTTAGCAGAACAAAACCCCAGAAATTGTTTCTGCACCAGACAGCTTTCAGATCAGAGCAATTTATGTTCAGATTCTAACTTGTGCCTTCTTTTTTCTTAAGTGGAAATTTCAATAGCATTGAACAAATATTTTAAAAATTGAGAAATTGAACACTTTTAAATATCTCTAAGAGTAATTTCCTTTGGGAGTTTGGGATTTGAAAAATTTCCTATTTGAACTCCCAAGAGATTAGGGAGCTCAAAAGCCAAGCTTAGGGTGGAATAAACTCAGAATAGCTGGAATCTTAGTTGCCTGAGACATCAGAGTTTGGTAGTATCCTAGATCAGAGGGCCATTGACTGTCTACCTCAGAGAGTCTGATGGGAGTGCAGAGGGGAGTGTGTGGTCAGGAGATATCACTTGTTTCTATCACAGCTTTGGATTTCATTCATATACCAAAAGTGTAGATGAATTCAGAAAATAAGATTAACAGTAATAACAACTTGAGGAAAAAACTAGACCAGAACTTGGGAGCCTCCTACCTAAGCCTCCCAACCCAATGGGGTTACAGGCTTGAGCCACCATGATCAGATTAAAATTTTAATGTAATATTTTATTTTATTTATTTTTAAAATACAATATTTTAAAGAAAAATCTATATGTAGAAAACAGTGGGTTTTTGTTAATGAAAAATGGCTACTTAATCAAAAGCCTTGATTCCCTACTTACTAGCTACTGGTATGTTAATGTAGTAAAATCACTTGCCTTTCCTGGGGCTGAGATTATTCACTCATAATAAGAAAAGTTAATTCAGTCTTCATCATAAGATTTTTTTCTAGTCTTAAAATCCTCTGAATTACATATTTTGAGTTTATAATTTTTACAGGAAAGTTTATCACATTGTAAGTACAATAAACAGCATTGTCCAAGACAAAGAAATAGAGTTGTTTCTAGTGATAAATTATTTCTACCTTTTCAGTGACGGTGCTTCTTTGGAAAAAGTAGAGTCATCAAAATCATAAGGTAAGCTGGCAAGGCTAGAGTTTCCAAACTCTTGAGTGTGTAAATCTTGGATGATTGCACAAGGGAGAAGCAGAAATCTCTAAAAGTTATATGTTTGATTTAGATTTATAGTTAAGGAATAGATCATATGAATGTTGTTTTGAGGAATATCTTAAGATGTTTACACTTGTGTCATTATGTTTGATCACCATTTTACTAATTCATCCTAGGATCATAAAATATAAATTGAGCTAGTCTAGACACTCCCATTTGCAGCCTAGATGATATTAATGATAAAAATTCAGAAATAAAAATTATAGTTGGGCCACCCATGGCAGCACATGCTTATAGTCCTAACACTCAGGAAGCTAAACCAGGAGGATGGCAAGTTTTTATCTAGCCTTGGCTACGCTATAAGATCCTGTCTCAAAACACAAAGAAAAAATCAAAAATCTGGCATGTGATTGTAATCCCAGCTATGTGGGAGGTGAAGGTGAGACAATTGAGAATTTGAGCCAGCCCGAACTACATAGTGAGATCTTGTCTCAAAGAAAAAAAAAAAAGAAATTTCTGTCTTTTATTAGTCATAATTTGCCAATGACTGTATAATTTAGTACACTGAGTTCTTCATAAAGTTGAGGTACAGTTTATTCATTCCTGCATTTGTGGCTAATTATCTAAAATCTATTCCTGGTTCAGCCTTTTCCCAGCTCTGTTACCTTAAATAAATTACTTCATCACTTTGGAGGTCAATTCTGTCAGCCATGAAGAATAGTAGAAGGTGTGAATGGTTCTTAGTACTGTGTTCTCCTTCCAGATTTGATGTTCTATCTGTATAGAGATTTCCAACTTGTTAGGGGAGATTGAAAGATATTAACTAAGACAAATGATAACTCTAACATTTTCATGTCAGCCAATCCTAAGCACTAAAGTTCTTTTCCAGTGAAAGGCAGTTTTACTAAGGGGAGGTTTGTAGAGATTGGAGTCTTAGATGTGTTCTCCTAGCAGCAGACTCCATGATCCAACTACTAGAGTAATCTAGGAAATACCTGTTGGGAGTGAGGAAGTGAGGCAGGAAAAGGAAGCCAGCAATAAGGATGGAGTTATTATGCAAGTTTCCACTGTTGGTAAATGGAGGTTAATCCACTTGGGAATTTTTGGATGTCACAGTAGAAACTCAGAGCCATGCCATTATCCTGAGGGAGAGGAATGAGGGTATTACAATACCAAATTCTGCCAGTAATTGGCTTCTCCTGTGGGGCACTATTTTGCGGACATTTCTTGCCTTAGTTATTGTGGGCTTCTACTAGTCAGAAGCACCCAGGTGGTCAAGGTCTAGATATCTGAGGCTACCAGGTACTGAGGGGATATGGGCATGGCACAGACAACAGCTGCCATAATCTAATTATAGCAGTACAGCTGGAACAGTACATTCAAACTACTACACTTCAGGGCACCAAGTAAAAGGAGGTATGCATTCCTTCTAGAAGGAAGCACCACTAAGAGATGCTAAAAAGAGACTCTAGGAGTCAAAGAGCAGTTCTCCTCAGTAGTGCTTCCTGTCAACCTCTGAACACAATGGCATGTAATAGCCAGGGAGGAGTAGGCTCCTGTACCTATTACCCTTAGATCTGGGACGCTGGCTGTACACATTGCAAAAAGGCATGTTGATAGTCCACATGCGGTCAGTAGGTAGGCAAACTTGCAAGGCCTAATTTCTGGCCACACAAATGACATAGCACTTTAAAGGGAGTAGCATCTATGAGGACTCTGTCTGCATGTTGCAAATGGTGACTTTATATGGAGAAAGACTTATTTTGTTTAACTTTTCTCTTTTTATTGTAAAGGAAACAGATTCTCTGATGTGTTGTGCTGTTAGGAGATACAGAATTTCTTTTAATCAGGTTCTATCAGTTATCAGCAACATTTCTGATAGATTTCAAAGCACCTGGGCTTTGATATAGAATGTTTGGTATTAAGTTTTTATTCTTTTGGCATCACTAAAGTTTTGTGAAAATTCTCGTCTTCTAGGTGAAGTTTTTTTTTGTTTTGTTTTTTGTTTTTTAAATCAATCCACCAATTGCTCTTTATACAGGAAAAATGTGTCATTTTAGAATAACTTCCTATTTCATATTTTTGTAACAATTTAGATTTTATTTTTAGCATTCATGTCAGGCTTAAGAGCTAAGTGTTTGGAGATGGTTTCTGTATTGTTGGTATACAAAAGCTGGCAGAAATATTAACAGTAATATGA